AGGACGCCGTGCGGAGGATTGAGGTGAGGACTGAGTTTCAGCACCCCCCTCCCCAAGTTCCTGCTGGAACTAAAGGGGCTGGAGGCTGATCTGAGCAGGGACAGAGCATATTCGTGGGAGCCGAGGGCTCACTCTCTGTCACCGGGTGTAGGACATGATGAACCAGGCCCGTCATGAGAGCTCAGGAGTGAAACTGGAGGTGAATGAGAGGTGAGTACTAACTTCCATCCCCAAAGCCCCAGCAGGTTCTATCTTCCTGACTGTTGAGCTGGACATAAAATTGCACGTGTCCCAGGCCCCGCTGTGGCTGAGCCTGGCATGATGTTCAAGGTCATACTACAGAGCTAGCTGTCTTCTCTTTCTTCCCTGCCCTCCTCAGGATCCTCAACTCCTGCACAGACCTGATGAAGGTGAGCAGGGTGGGTGTGTGGCCCCAGGGAAGGCTCCATCTCAGGACCACCTGGAGAGTCACAGACAACTTGGTCTTGGCAGGCTATCCGGCTTCTTGTGATGACCTCCACCAGCCTGCAGAAGGAAATCGTGGAAAGTGGCAGGGTGAGCTGGATAGCCTGTGGTCTGGCAGCCTTCCTGGCTTGACCAGCGAGGGCCATAACTTCCGATCCCCTTGACCCTTTTGTGCATGACACCCCCCATACAGCATCTGTTGCCATAGCTAAAAGTCCTCACACCTCAGGGAGGCCTTAGGGATATGCCTGTGGGCTGTCTGAAATGTCCTTGATCGCAGCACCCTGTCGTGTTCTCTCATTGCCACTAGGGGGCGGCAACGCAGCAGGAATTCTATGCCAAGAATTCACGGTGGACCGAAGGCCTCATCTCAGCCTCCAAGGCAGTGGGCTGGGGCGCCACACAGCTGGTGTATGTCACCCAAGTGTGGGTGGGGTAGCCAAGGTGCTAAGGTCTGGTGTGAGGGTCGCCCTACTGTTCATGGTGCGGAAACCCAGACTCTTGAGTGTCCCCACCCTCAGGGAGTCAGCTGACAAGGTCGTTCTGCATATGGGCAAATACGAGGAACTCATTGTCTGCTCACATGAGATTGCAGCCAGCACTGCCCAGCTGGTGGCAGCCTCGAAGGTGAGCCTGTGCTGAAACCTGCCAACCCCAGGCTTTGTGCCAGGCCTGGGCTGGGGCCCTCACCCACTGCCTATGGCCGACACGTGCCCATTCTGTTCCCTGAAGGTAAAAGCCGATAAGCACAGCCCACATCTGAGCCGCCTGCAGGAGTGTTCCCGCACTGTCAACGAGAGGGCCGCCGGTGTGGTGGCCTCCACCAAGTCAGGCCAGGAGCAGATCGAGGACAGAGGCAAGCGCTTGGATATTCAAGGGGGCGTCCCAGCCAGGGGAAGGAGTCACTCAGCTACTTCTTTCTCCTGACCACAGACACCATGGATTTCTCTGGCCTGTCGCTCATCAAGCTAAAGAAGCAGGAGATGGAGACACAGGTGAGTGCCCTCATGCCCACAGCTGCCAGGGACTGATCTCTGGGGAAGACCCGGGACTCATGGGCAGTGCTGAGTGGCTAATGTGGCCTGCAGGTGCGAGTCTTGGAGCTGGAGAAGACACTGGAGGCAGAGCGTGTACGGCTCGGGGAGCTACGGAAACAGCACTATGTGCTGGCCGGGGTGATGGGGACGCCTAGTGAGGAAGAACCCAGCAGACCCAGCCCGGCTCCCCGAAGTGGGACCATTAAGAAGCCACCCCTGGCGCAGAAACCCAGCATAGCCCCCAAGCAGGACAACCAGGTGCCAGGCTTCAGTGCAGGGATAGGGAGGAGAGCTGGGGGCGGGGGGGGTGTGTGGCTACACCTGGATGGTACACATGCTCCTGGCCGAATTTACTGAGACTCTTCATCTTTGACCCCCTGCAGCTCGACAAGAAGGATGGTGTCTATCCAGCTCAACTTGTGAACTACTAGGCCCTCTAAAGTGTTCAGCAGGATGGCTGGTGGTCATGCCTGGGCCTCGTGTGGCTGTCTGGCAATGGTAAAGGGGCCTCTGAGAGGCCTCTAATTCCTGGACCTGAAGCCCAACGCACTATCTCCAAGGCCCCAGCCTTCACCTGCCCAAGGGGCCTGGGCTCTGTGGGGATAGTTCATCTGGATGTGAGTCTATTTATCTGTAGTAGGAAGTGCCCAGAGCAGCTGGGACCCAGCAGGCCTGAGCCACAACTCTTCAGTGAACAGCTGCCATGGTCTGGATGTTGCAAGTTATTTCTTCCTTTGTAAGTCTAGTCCGCACACTGGGAAGAGGCCACATCAGTCTGGAGCCTCCCTGCCTCTGGTCTCAAAGGTCTGAGGCCATAAGTGAACAGAAAGAGGGGTTCCCTGCTGGCTGTTGGGAACAAGGGGATGACCTGTGGCCCTTGAGAGAGGGAGAGCAGGTGGCCTGGCCGGTGTTACCCTTGGGGGGACCTGGTGCTAGGGCGTCCATGCTGGGAGCCCCAGGAGACCAGGCTCAGTGTGGGAGCCTGGCAATAGAGTAGCCAGGCTGCTGCTGGGCTGTGCCTATGGGCAGCCCTCCTCAGGTGCTGCCTCTGCCCTTGAGTTTCGTTCCCAGCTAGACTCTGCAGCCATTCCTCCCCCCCCCCCCCCCCCCCCCCCCCCCCATTTTCCATTCCCCTGGCCTGGCTGCTTCCACCTCGATGGGAAGACCTCAGCCCTCCTAAAGCTGGGCCTATCAGCTCCATCAGAAGCTAAAAGAACAGAAGCTACAACACACTTTTCTGGGGGCTCAGGAATTCCTGATGGGCCCTCAGATGGGAGCAGCCCAGACTTGGAGGCCTGGCCTTGCGTGCCCCTGATAGTTTGAATAAATGTGTTTCTTGAGCCTGAGGGGGAGCAGCCGGGGGTGGGGGATATCCAGGCCACCAGTAGAACCAGCAGCTGGACTGGGACAAGTGCCCAGCTTCCCTCCAGCTGCCTGCCCTGTGCCCTGGGAAGGCTACCAACCATGGGCCAGGGTCTGGGGCTTTGGGAGGGAGCCAACTCCTTTGCCTTGTGTCCAGTATTCCCTGCGTTGAGTTCCACTGGCAATAAAACACTTGACTGTTGTCACCAGTGCCCTAGTGAGGGCCTCTGCCAGGCTTTTCATTTCGCCAGATGCACACACTTGTCTGGCCCTGTGTAGGTATCTGCAGTTGACACTGATCCCGAGGACGCAGTCTTGCTAGTGTAGCTGGCAGCTGTCACCAAGCACCAGTCTTTCTGTAGATTGCTACAGCATGGGCCGTCCTTTGCTAGAGGCTGAACCAGCTATCGCCCTCCTCGCGCCTGCCGGGGCCCTCCTAATTGAGGCCACTGCTGCTCCAGCCTGGAACTTCTGTGCTCTCTCTAGGGCCTTACCAGTGCTTACTACCAGCACACCACATCCGAGACCATGTGTTAACAGTTGGCAGTTTCCAGACTTCTAAGGTCTGAGCTGGTGGGTGAGGCTCTTGACCTTCATGCCACACACATGCTCCAGGTTCCAGAGAGCAGGACTCAACTTGCAGCCCCAACAGAGGTGACTGGGGCCTCCTCATCCCCACACCGAGCATTCACAGGGCACAAGAGCGGGGTGTGCTGTTGAGACAGTCAAGCTCCCACAGTCAAGCCTTCCTTCTCCAAACAGCCAGGTTACAGGAAGGCTGGAAGTCGGTACGTTCAAGTGCTCTGCCAACTGGTCTCCAGTGAGGGTAATAGAGCCAGCTGCCAGTTCTGAATCGTTTCATAGAACTTTAGAACACTTCGTGAAGTGTTCTTCATGTTTACAAACCAGAGAAAACTGGTTCAAGATAGCCAGTGACCTAGCATCCTGGTGGCCCAGACCTGGAACTGGAGTCTTGTTACCTCAGGTGTCAGAAGTCACCACCCCCACCCTTCACCACTCTTCCTTGGTTCTACTCAGAAGTTAGGGCCCAAGGGGGAAGAAAAGGACCCACCAGGTCTGAGTTCATAGACTCACAAATTGGCCATTTAGTTGGGAAATCCCAGGGAGCGGCCCTGACCAAGGTCCATCTCTAGGTCAGGATTTAGTATTTACTAAAGCTTGCTTTAAACAAGTCACTGAGAAAAAAAAAAAAAAAGTCACTGAGAAAGCCCAACATACTCACCAGGAGGGGCTATATAAATTTGGATATAAGCTAGCAGCCATGGTGAAGGAAACTAGCAGAATCTTTTTCAAGGTGAACTGATTTCTCAGGACAAGCCTCCCCCTTCCTAATATGACCATAGGCATCTACTGTCTGTTGTCATAAGACTGTGTACATAAGCATTCTCTTCAGAGGATGGGACAGTTGAACAGGGCTGCTCTCGGGTCAAGCCCTTGTAGGGGTTTTGTGATCCAGAAAACACAGCAAAGTGCAATAGAGCACAGATCCGAGGGCATACCGCTCAACTAAGGGCTGCAGGCACGTGAGTCAGAGACATAGTAGGGCAACAGACACACAATAGGTGTGGGGTACATTAAGTCATATGGGCATGCAGCTCAGCCAAGGGTGGCATGTACCCAAAGGCGCAGGAGGTAAGCCCCTCCTCACTGCAAAGGGGCAGCACACAATGGGGTCTGTGTGTGGAGACACTGTCTTTAAAATGCTAAGAGTCCCTGAAACGCCAACATCTGAAACGGCTGGTGTCCTAGCTATTCAGTTGTACAGGCCTGTGGACAGACTAGGGACAGTGGGCCCTGAGGTCATCCTCAACACAATGCCCCAGCACTGTAGCATCCCAAAGACAGGATTTTTTTCTGTTTCAGTATGTGGCTTAAAAATACAAGAACCCTATGCCAGGGATTCAGAACACACCAGTTTTGTTTTTGGAGATGGGTCTGAGTAGCTCTAGCTGACCCGTAATCCTCCGCCCAGCTAGAATGCTGTTTGTTTGTAGCCCCAATAACAGTCACTGTCCTTGCTGGACCAGATGTCACTGATACTCTAGAACCTCATCACAAATGTTTCCAGGTACAGCAGTGGCAGGCTGAAAAAAAATGAAGAGAACTGTGACAAACTGAAATTAATAATTCTCAATTTATTAAGAGTTCTACAGCTTTACAACCCTGGTGCCACATCTGGCCCTGGGCAGTGATCACAAGGTTGGCCTAGTGGCCCCTACACCACATCCTCCTGGAGCTCCGGTGTGGCTGCAGCCCATGACTGGGCAGTGGGTGTTCCTGATGGCAGCTGGTGGCAGAGGTATCATGGCACATACAGCTTTGTCTCTGTACAGAAGAGTTCCAGTAAGGTAGAGTCCAAATCCACGAACAGGAGTATAGGACTTGGGGACAAAGGCTGGTAGCCAGCAGCTCTCTAACCAGCTCTGCTTGATTCCCACTTTGGGTTGCAGCCAGTTGGCACGGCGAGGGTAGGGCTCTAAGTTCTACCAACAGGCACACAGCCCTCTTCCGGCAATAGGTGTGGGTGCTGCCCCTCCCCCGGCTGGGCCCTGGGAACACTGCACATGTGGCACCTGCAGATGAGATCCCAGAGAGGAAGGAGCCACCACCGCCAATCCTGTGGGGTGGGCTTTCGCCGGACTCTTTCCATGTCCCCGGCCAACACCTGTAGCACTGCCGGAGAACATCCTGCTTGAAGGTGGATGGACCTCCTCTGACCTATCACAAAGCAATGAGGCCCACCAGGGCCCTGCCTAACTGTGGGCCCATCGGGGCAGCTGGCACGCTGCAGGCATCTGAGTCCTGGCACCAAGTGAAGCTAAGGCACAGCACGGGCACTGATGATGTGCCTATGTACTGCTCGCCTGACAAAAAGCGGCACTCAATAAATCTGCATTTTTAACCAGCTCAAAACAGTATCTGAATTTTTAAAAAAAGTTTCCCTGAATGGTCTTAAGAGTGTCAAAAAGGTTTCTTTTGAAATATAAAACAGGAACATTACAAGTGTAGTAAAAACACTGAGGTTTTTTTTTGTTTGTTTTTTTGTTTTTCACAGAAACCGTCATGCGGCTTGGGGGAGAGGAGAGAAGAGGGGAGGGCAGGGGAGGGCTGTGGACTGTACTATCCAGCTCACACTGGCCTCACTCACACCCAGGGCGACAGCTCTCCTGGCTCTGCCGTGGCTGGGAACCATGAGAACATCCATCCAGCTTGGCGGGGGCAGGAGGTAACTGATGACCCGCCCTGCAGACTCAATGAACAGCACAGCCCCCCAGCATGGCCATGGAGACACATTCCAGGCTGGTCAGTGCGGATCAGCCTTTATCAGCGCCACAGCTGGTGGGCCAAGACTTGAAAACAAAACAGATACTTAACCATGCTTATTAAATAAAGCTGCAACGGGAGTCTAAATTGGAGGGGGAGGTTTGTCTTTCCAAATGCACAAGTCCATCAACAGTGGATACTCAGAAACCACACCCAGAACACAGAGCAAGGCGATGACTGGGCACGCCAGACTGTGGCCTGGCACAGAGCTCCCTTAGTGCCCAAAACCTGCTCTCTATTACTTACCATGGACCTACAGTTTGAAAATCAGATGGACACACTGGCCCAGGGCATCCAAGCCCTTGGCCCAGATGCTGGGCCTCACAGCCTCTGTCTGTAGCGCTCGGCACGGCGGGCCGTCCTGCAGGAAGGACAGGCCGGAGCTCACTGAAGGATGAAGCCTGGCTGGTGTGGGGCCAGCCGTGGAGGGGGCCTCTGGGGCAGGGCTGGTGGGTATGGTGACACCAACTGTGCGGAGAATCCTTGCTGAGAGGGGAGGCCCACCCTGGGAGGCAGAGGTGGGCACTGTAATCCCGGGTATGGAGAAGCCTGTCCTGAGCCCATGGCAGCAGTGAACGGGGTGGCTGTGTGTCCCGTAGGCACCGGGGGTGGAGGTGGGGGTATGCGCCGAGGCACCACAGAAGGGAGCCCAGTGGCCTCCACAGGTGGATAGGGCAGGGGGACGGCAGGCGATGGCTCGGGCGCCCTGGGTGTCAGCTGGACCCCGGCCTGCAGGAGTCTCTGTCCCTTCAGCACCAGCTCCTGGAGCTTCTCCACCTTGACCCGCCGCATGTGTGCCAGCTTCCGCTTGCTCTGGTAGACATCGATAAAGGCATCTAGAGGAAGCTCTCCATCTAGAAACTTCTCTGCCATGTTCTACAAGAAGAAGAACCCCGGTCAGACAGCTGTTAGGAAGAAGGCTGCCTTCACAGTCCAGGCAAAAGGGGGGGCTCAGCCCCTGTAACCCTTCTCCTGGGAATACTCCTTGGCGCCCATCTTCTGCCACGGGCTCAGAGCTTTGGACCCTGGAGGTGGGCCTGGGTGATGCTGGCAGGAGCCGTCACCAAGCAGAACCACAGGAAGATGAGGTGTGTGGTCTGCTGTTGGTTCTGCCCTCCAGATCCCAAATAGACAGATGGCACCTGGCAAGGCCTCGCCTTACACGGGTACAGTCCCGAGTTTCCAGCTCTCCCATTCCAGAGAGACAGCCATTGCCCAGGCCCTGCCCTCCGGTTTCCACCTGGCTGCACCCTGACCAATGACTCACCCTGGACAGGGTAAACAGCAAAGAGCCCTACTTGTGGCCATCAGGGCCTAACGGTTAGTCAGCCTAGCACAGCCTGACCTGGCAATGTGTGGCCAGCAAGCCCTGACTTGCTGCTAAGGCACACACTTGACCCTGACTCATTTCCTTCCAACAAGGCTCCAGCCATGTATTCAGCCAGCCACAACTGGAAGGCTCAGCAGCGACAAGCTGCCTCTCTGACCACAGAAGACGCCTCGGCCGTGGTGCCCAAGAGGTGAGATTAGTTCAGAGCGGCATGTACTTCCTCAACCAGGCCAGTGCTGAACTGGCCCCTGCCCACTGGATCCCTGCCTAGCACGTTTCCTAGCCAGAGGCCATGATGCCCACGCGCACCCAGACAAGTGCCACCTGTTGGCTGTGGAGCTGTGGTGCTCCCATGTCCTGGAGGGAGCGGGTCTACTGAATAGACAGCGTGATCTAAGAGTCCAGATGTATGGCCCGAGCTAGTCCACTAAGGCTGCCCAGCCTTACCTCAGTGTCTTCCTCAATCTTGGCCCCTTCTGCTTGAAGAAGTGCTAACAGAGTCTCCAAGGAAGCGTTGTTAGACTGCTTATCTGGGAAAAGCAAAAAAATATGATGGCGTCAAGCGGCGCATCCCACCAAGATGCCTTTCAGTTTCCCTGGTTGGAGAATGTTATTTTTAACTAGAAAGACAACAGGAGCGGACTTTCCAGGAAGCTCAAAGCACAGCATTAAATACGCTAGAGGAACCTAAATGGACAAGGTCTAGAGAGAGAGCGGGCCAGCATCCCATGTTAGAGCAGCAGGGAACCGCCTGCTTCCCACGTGTGACCACAACTGGGATCATACAGGCTCTGCCCAGCACTCAGGGCTGAACAGAGGCTGCTCCTATGTAGGGCAGGTGGTCCGCCACTGAGCCATATCCTCAGTCCACCTGCTTTTATAGTGTATACCATCTCATTAAAGTGGGTGGGTGGCCTGAACCTCACAATCCACCTCCTACAGCTGCAGTTACAGGCCTCTGTCACCATTCGAAGGAGCATGTCCTACTTTTTCTCTCAACCACTTGCCCTTATCATGTCTTTTTTTGAGAGATAACTTAATCTAGCACATGCTTCTAAGTCTTAGATTAAAACATGAGGGGCTGGAGAAAGGTTCAGTGGACCTGGGTTCAGTTCCTAGCGCCCAGACCAGGTGACACACATTCACAGACACCAACATAAAAATCAATCTTAAACAAACAAAACACCACGTGACTAAAACTCCAATCATGCCATGTCAGGTCAAGCGAGGTAAGACGTTCCCAGAGGCTCCACCTTGCCCACTCTCCCTTCAAGGCTGGCCTCCACAGCATGACGACACTGCCCTGGCTCTGCCTGCTGGCCTCTCTCACTCGGCATCGTCTCCCTGCCGGTGGCCTAGGTGTATCTGAGAGTCTTTTCTTTTCAAAGCTGCCTCTCCACCCCTAGCCTGTACTCTGCAGATGGACACTTATTCTTCAACTCAACGACTGCACCAAAACGAGCAAACAAACAAACTTCAATGTTTGTACTTACCTTGTCAGAGGTACAGTGTTCCTTCCACTGGGTTCATGCCCAGGTCTCCCTGAGTCAAAGAATGCGCCCTGTGCATTAGGAGGCCCAGCTAAGAACTGCGTCCAAGGTGGCACCCCACACCAGCATCTGGTGTTCTAGTCTTTAATGTTTTTTCTTACATTCTTGGGTGGGTGGGTTCTGAAGTTACAGAGACTGTCAGGGCCAGAGCAAACAGTAGCTGTAAACCTCACAAAAGGAGATGATTTTGGTTTTTAGTTTTCTTTTTTCCTGAGGCAGGGTCTCTCTCTGTAACTATGGCTGGCCTGGAACTCACAATGTAGATCAGGCTGGCCTAAAACTCAGAGATCTACCTCTGCCTCCAGAGTGCTGGGATTTAAAGTGTGCATTATCACACCAGGCCTGTGTGTGTCTGTGCATGTGTGTCTGTGTGTTTCTGCATGTATGTGCTGATGCGAGCAGAAAACATACAGCTGCCTGTGTGGGTGCTGGGAACCAAACTTGGGGCCTCTAGAAGAGCAGCAAGCACTCTTAACCAGACCCAGATCTCAATCCAGAAAATGTCTTGGGTTTATTGTTTGCTTTTTGAGACAGGGTCTTTCTATGTATCTCTGGCTGTCCTGGAACTCTATGTAGACCAGGCTGGCCTCAAACTCACGAGAGATCTGCCTGCCTCTGCTCCCGAGTGCTGGGTTTAAAGCTGCAAGCACCACTACCTGGCTCCCACAAGGTTTCTTCTCCCCCCCTCTTTTTTTTCTTTCTTAATAGTTTTCCCCCATCCTACTCTTTCTTAATAGTTTATTTTTATTCTATGTACATTGGTATTTTGTTTACACTTTATGTCTGTGTGAGAGTGTCAGATCCCCTGTAAACAGAGTTACAGACAGTTGTGAGCTACCATGTGGGTGATGGGACTTGAATCCTAGTCCTCTGGAAGAGCAGCCAGTGCCCTTAACCACTGAGCCATCTCTCCAGTCCCCAAGGGTTCTTAATCTGAATGTCCCATGAGGCAGGAAGGTCGTTCACTACAAAGTAAACCCAAGCCTAAGCCCTAGCCAGCAGGATTGCATGAGCCACACAGACACGCAGATAGCACCCATACCACTTACCACACAAGCACAGACACATTCACGCCCTCAGTCCCTCCATCTTTGCTTGCTGTGACATTTCAGCACGATACTCCAGCAAAAAGGCTCTTTCCCGATTCACTTGGAGAGCCAGACACAGGCTGGAGCGTTAGCTGACCACCCTGGTTCAGAAGACGGCTTTCTTCTGTGCTGCCTGGAGCAGGTGGAGTCTTGAATTTAGAAAGTGGTCTCTTCCCTAAACGATTGCTTGTTACAGCAGTTATTGCAGAGATCTGAAACTTTTTCATGTCATTTTCTTGGTAGGGCATTGCTTGAACTTTCTGAAAAAAGTTATTTTTGGTTTTTTGAGACAGGATTTATCTGTGTACCCCTGGCTGTCCGAGATCAGGCTGCCTAGATCTCAGACATCTGCCTGCCTCTGCCTCCAGAGTGCTGGGATTAAAGGCATGAACCACCACTGCTTGGCCTCCCTTCAACTCTTTACTCTCAAAAGACCACCTGAAAAAGGTTACCTAGTTTGGTCTTCTTTATCTGATAGGCCTCAAAGAGAACTTGGAGTTCCTGGTATTTTTGGGTCAGGCGAGCTTTCTGAGCATCCAGTTGGGGCTGGTATAAAAGGTTTCCCTCTGCCAGGCTCCGGTTGCTAGCCAGTGTCATCTCTTTGTTAAGCTGAACAGTCTGCGTCTGCAAGAAATACACAGGCTGGTGAGACCAAGGTCGGTGTGTAACTTCACTAGCAAGTCCTGCGCTGGGGGCCCAGGTGGCCACAGCCCCCCCCTGCTCTCCTGGATGGCCCTATACAGGCTGGTCAGACACAGCCAAGCAGAGACTCCTGCCCCTCTGCCTTCTTGCGGGGGGGGCTCTCCCCATTCACAAATGGTGAGGCCCGCCTCCCCAACCCCCATAGTAACACACAGGGCTTTGGCTTCAATGGCTGCACCGTGACTTGAATTCTTTATAGCCGCCGCTATGGTGAACGCAAACAGCTGTGAAGGCACAGGGCAGGACTGTCCAGAGCAAGCTTCGGCCATGGTAGAGGAAATCAGAGCCACTTTCATCAGAGTGCTCAGCTGGCAGGATGTCAGCGTGTGCTTCCTAGTCAGCCTCAGATCAAAAGAGCCCAGCGGCCCGGAGACTGAGCTGTGTTTACAGTGACCACTTCTCCATCTTTCCCACGCCCACCAGCAGCTCTCCTGGGCTGTCCCCTTTAGCAAAGACAGAGGGGCTGCCCCACAACTGTTCCCTTCACTGACTCTAGGCTTTCTCACAGGTATTGAAAACTGGCTGGGCCAGAATGCTGAGAAAGGGTAAAAGACAAAGCTCGGCCACAGTGTGTTCGAAGAGAAAAACAAGAATCAAACACATCTCTGCCTTCTGGTTCCCTATTTCCTCACTCCTGACTTGCTTCCTCTACATGGCCTGGCCACCGCTCCCTTACTTTCTGCACTTTAAGTTTAACCCCTTACCCACGGTGACACGACTGCATCTCTTCCAGCACCTCTTCAACCCCACCCAGCCATTCATCTTCTCTTTAATATTTTCTGCCACCCCACCCAGGCTATTTTTGCTAAGACTTCCTTCCTCTCCATATTCTGTATATAGTCCTCTGCTCCCCACCTCCTACCGTACCCCTGCTGGCGCTTGCACAGCTCCCGGCACACCCACACACCGGGGGCCAGGGGAACCCCCAGAACAAAGAAAAAGCCCTTCAATACTGGCTGCCTGATCACGCAGGAGGCATTTTGATTTTAGCAGATACACAGGCCCTCAAGACCACACTCCCCCGAAACCAACTGGGGAGGATCCCAGTCATGAAGTCCCTTCAACTCCAGCTCAGCACTGTAAACCACGAGCCAGGTGCACCTCTGAGGTTGTTGGCATGAACACTCTTAAGTAAGCAGGGAGAGCCTGGCAATGGGGGCTGAGCTTTAAGGAGTCCCCGGGAGGCAGGGCGGCTCCTGTCCCCATCTACTCCAGGGGCTCCCAGAGCCTTGTGAGGCTCGTGCACTGATGGCCGCGGCCGCACAGGAGTCTTTCCTTCCATTGTTATACAAAAACAAACCACGTATATCCACTCCGGCATCTTAGGAAACTAAACATGGAAATATCATTTGACCCAGAAGCTGTACTCCTGGGCATTCTTCCAGAGAAACAAAAACTCCTGTATAGACACACACACATGCACACCTGCACTTGAATTTCCCAGTAGATCTGTTCAAAATAATCTAAAACTTGAAGCAACCTACACGTTTTTCACCATAAGAACAGGTCCATACCATGAAATACTCTTCAGCAATTAAAAGGGAGAGCATTATTCACACTGAAACAACGTGAATAAACCCCCAAGGGATCACAAGGAGTGAAAAGAGCCAATCCTGAAGGGCCGTACATCCCACAATTCCATGCATACAGTAGTCTCAAATATCGAGATGGAGAGCTGTGGGGTTTGTGACAGGGCAGGAGGGCTGTAAACAACCTGTGATTGGTGGCTGAGCCTTTATGCTGTCGGGATCAGGATCAATATCCTGGCTGTGAGAGTGTAATGCGTCACAGCCTTGCCAGAGTATGGGGTATGAGATGAAGGCACACAACAGGAGCTGTGTCTGACGTCTAACACTGAACCTATGATTATATCCAAATCAAGCTTAGTCATATGCAAACTACCTGCTACAGGCCTTTTCCTCCTTCTGGTGTCATCTCATGAGTGGCAGGGGCCATGTTCAAGGCCAAGGTCAGGACCAGGACATGGCTCCTATGCCCAGACCTGTTGCTCTGTACCATTACTCTTTTTCTGTTTTGTTTGTTTGTTTTGTTTTGTTTTGTTTTCCCCAAGACAAAGTTTCTCTGTGTAGCCTTGGCTGTCCTGGATTATCTTTATAGACCAGGCTGGCTTTGAACTCACAGCCAGGGATATACTGAGAAACCCTGTCTCGGGGGGGGGAGGGGGGGAGAGAAAACACCGTCAATAGAACCGTGTCTTCCATCCTCTGTAAGGTGACACTTGCCCCTTTCTCACCAGCTGAGAACTCAGGGCTCTGGAGTGGGGTCTGTTCTCCCTATTCTTGACCAGAGGCCTTCTGACTGTCCTATCGAAACTCACAGCCACCCACTGTCACTGCACTCAATCTCACAACGGTGAGAGGCCTTTCTTCTTGCTCACCTGTTGTGTCCCATCATAATCCAAGCTGTTTGGCACGACAGGCCCCAGCGCACAGTGAAATCTGCTCCACCTGCGTGCACCCTTCCCCTTAGCAAATCAAAACCATATGAGGCCAATTCTCAATAAAAGAACAGGGCTGAGGATCCAGAGTGCTTGGCAATCTTGTGCAAGGCTCTGGGTTTCATCTCTACTATCAAAGAGCAAAGCAAAGGGAAACAAAATACGGAGTAAAGAAAAGTGAGCTGCTGTCAAGGAACACAGCATTCTGCTGCAAAGCTCATGCATTCGCTGGCCTCTCTAAGAATGTCACTTGAGTCTAAGCCTATCTGGGGGCATGTGGGGTCACTCTGTGGGTAGTTTCCAAAGCAGAATGTCCCCAGGAGTTCTAGCAGAAGAAACACAGTAAACCCTGGTCCCGAGGTGGGAAAAGTGACATTCAAGCACTTGCTGCAGCATTGCTAAATGTGGCTTTACAACACTGCGACCCATCAGAATGCCCCTGAAGGGGAAGGAGGGGGTAGAAAAGCCCCGAGCCTGTGGGTGGGGACAGGGCTCAGTAGCAGAGCACCTGCCTAGCACACATGAAACTCTGGGCACCCACCCCCCAATCCAGACCAACCACCGACCAGACAATTCTCTGAAGGGGCCCAGACAAAGACACTTTTCTAAACTCTCAGGGGATCCCTGCATGCAGCTTAACTGAGATGCACCACTCTATAAAATGCAAATACAAAAATACTCTGTTCCCACGGGGGCGGGGGTGGTTAGGACCACTTGCCCTACATAGCACAAAGTCCTGGAAGAAAACACAAGGAGGCCTGGGCTAAGAACGAGACGATCATCTGTCAGGCTTCGAAAAGCCAAAGCCACCCACCGATAAAAGAAGACAGACTCCCAGCTGCTAAACTGGTTGTATTTTTATATATACCCTTTGGGTGAGCAGGTGTTTTTTATGTGACTAAATGACAGCAAATCCTAAGTGGCCACCCAGAGAACATCCCCAACCTCCAGGAGGCAATGGCAGCAACATGGACAGGGGCCAGGAATGCTGCAGACTTCTTTTCTTAGCTTTGTAATCCTGGCAGAGACTATGGACAGGACAGAGGGACTGGGGAGGGTTGGCAGGGTCACGCTAGCCTGATAATGGGTCTGAGCATGAAGAGGGAAGTCCACTTTAGCAAAAGTCAGGCTTAAAAAGAACCCAAGTTGTTCACATCCTCATCCCCATGATGGGCGAGGGCACACATGTCCACCGGCAGTGGACAGGCCCCTTGATCTTTTCCCACGGTCTGTCCTTTTCCTTAACCATAAAGAAATCTTTTCAGGAAATAATTTCTCTGCGGTGAAGAACCATTTTTGTAACTCAGTTTCACTTCAGCTTCCTTTTCCTCCTACGGAAAAATGAGTGGTGCGTGACACACTGATCAGGGTCCCATCTGCATGGCTGCCTCTGCCCTGAGCCTGACGAAGGCTGTCCAGGACGTCTGCCCAGAGTCAGTTAGCATGGCTACCCTAGCCTGCTGGAATCACTTCACTTTCAGACTTTATGCTTTGTACTACCACTTGATTTTTTTTAATCACTTGATTCCTTTTTAACAGTCATATAATTTTACAGAGAAAAAAGTCATTTCCTTTCACTAAAAACCATACCTTTTTGATTCAGTACAAACAGAAGGCAAATGCCCCGAGAGAATAAAGTACCTCCCTCTAAAAATGAAAGGGGGGGAGCAGGGGCTGGGGAAGATCTGAGTTCAGATCCCGTGCCCATGTAGAAGGCAGGCGTGGCCACATGAGTGTGCCGGGGGTGAGAGGCTGGCAGACCTGGAGCGTACCCGCCAGCAGGCCAGCTTTGCGTTCAGTGAGAGCGCTTATCTGGAGAGAGAAATGAAGACTCCTGTGCTGCCCCTGGCCTCCGCCAGTGTGTGCACGTGTGCACTCTCATGTGCATGCACACACTCACACGCACACACGACACTCTGAAATACACCCAGCAAGCAAGAAGACAGACGTAAGCCCCCTCCGCCCTTCTGCCCACACAACACTTAAGAGACAGAGACTCCCTGAAGCCCGCCGGCTAGGGCCAGGCAAAGGTTTGCGTTTCCAGTGGAACTTCTCTGTCTCCGCTCTCTCTCTCTCTCTCTCTCTCTGGTTTTTCTAGATAGGGTTTCACTGTGTAGCCCCTGATTGTCCTAAAACTCACTCTGTAGACCAAGCTGGCCTCAAACTCAAGAGATCCACCTGCCTCTGCCTCCCAAGTGCTGGGATTAAAGGCGTGTGCCACCATGGCCCAGCTGGAAATTCTTAACAGTACTAGAAGTCCGTCACATGATACAAGTCCAGCAAGCGCTGGGATCGGGCTGAGTCATGGAGGGCTACAACCCCTCCACCTGCCACCATCTCTGCAGGCTTAGCAGAAGCACAGGTGAACAATCTTGCTATATTTAGCAAGCAAACATGTTACTGGACAACAAGGAGTCCCACACCCAGCATACTTGCCACCAGATCTGCTCATGTGGACCCGAGG